GTGCACATGGCCGAAATGCCTCTCAAATGCCAAGTTAATTACATGCTAATGATAATTCACGTGCAACCTTAATTAACCCTAAATTCTAATGACCTCTAAATGAAATTCCTAAACTACAAGGCCGGAAATACAAGGCCCAATGAAAATACAAGGCACTAAGGCCCAATCCTACACTATCCCTAGTCTAATGGGCTTGAGACAAAGCCCAACAAAATAAAGTGGCGGGCCTTCCTTGGGCTTGGGCTCACTCTTCATGCATCATCCTTGCCATAGCCCTAGTAGTTGCGCCCTTAGCCCATGGGCCTCCTCCACCCCATCCTCTAACGGGTCGACGTCTACAAGCGCCATCCGGAAAAACTCTTGTTTAAAATTTTTATATGACTGGGAGTAAAGGGAAAATAGACCCCCATCCTTACTCCCACTCAGAGACAGTAAGCCATAAGGAGGAACCCCTATTTTCAACTGGTAAAAATGGAGAAAAATGGGAAGAGACACCTCTATCCCTAGGACTGAACATAGGACCTGAAAAGCCCTTCAAAAAACCCCAACTATTTGGGTGCAACTGGCAAGGAGCCGAGTTGATAAAGTTCAGAAAATCGCACTCAAATTGAGTGAAGGGAGGCAGACACCTAAATCCCTAAAAAAACACTGATATACACAGAAATGGGGAGGGTCAGAAGAACTTTCCATATACACACGTTCATCGGGCCGACACGGCTCGAGACAGATAAACTTGAGGATAGAAGACTCACAGATCCTATGTGTTCTTCGAACCGCATTGACCTCCAGGAACGACTTAAACATGCTCTGGAACTCCCCCACGTCGCGCCTAACCCAGTTATAGCCAGGAACGCCGGGGACGAGATCCTTGGGCGGGTTCTCCGCCCTCTTCTTTTCGGCGGCGGCCATTCCGGTGGCCACCGCCTTGCCGTGCGCCTTACCCTTACCCTTGGCAGGCACGGAAGATTCGGCACCACTCTCTCTAGTCATCAATAATGAAAGAAGGTTTGAGAAGAAGGAGAAAGAAGACTGTAGAAAGGAAGTACCTGGTACTCTTCCTCAGAAAATGACCCTAATAACAACTGGGTTACCGAAAGCGACGAAAGAGACAGAGAAAATGAAGATGGAGAATGAACGGAGGCGCAGGAAGCAGCGTGCACGAGAAGTCAAGAAGGAAGACAAAGCGAAAGAGAGTAAAGTGAATGGGAAGAGGCGCGAGGAAAAGAAAAGGTTTTTCCCCAAAATTCAAACGGCCACAACACGTGTCGCCTAAGGGACACGCCTGACGACGCATTAAATGAAGCCCATTATGAGGGGCGCGACCATCATTACAAAAACCGTCAAGGCTCATTAGCACGCCGCCTGCACATTTCCAAGAACGAGGCCACAGTTATGACACGTGGCATCTTGACAGATAGGCGTACGCGAAAAGCCACTACCCCTTGGCAAGCTCGGACTTAACTCCTCGACCTACGGTCTTGGGAGCTCGGGGGGCTAGTGTACTATCTGTACTGCCTAGCCGAGCTCGAACTCGACATCTCGAGCTTAAAGCGACCTCGGACACACACTAGGTGACGTCAGCTCGACACTTAAGCAGATCACAACTGATCTCGGGCCCAAGGCCCAACGTAACCCTAAATCACACCATGGTACGTGCATTACTTATACGAGACTCAGGCTCCCACAAATCCTAACTTTAGCATCGGAGTCTCTTTTGCAGGTACCACCCCCATCTTGGAGCATCAAGCGTACCAGTGAAGGAGGCTCACCGACTTAACCCAGCAGATCATCCCTATCTCGGATCCCCGGTAAGAACAAAAACTATTTTTTTTATCACTTCAAAAGAGATTTTGGAATCCAATTCTAAAACATATATCAAAATTGTTTCAAAATTTGCAAAAAGAAAAAGAATCATTGAGTTATGGCATCTACCACCACAACCTCTATGCTTCATGCTTTCCTCGAAAAGGCTTTTAAGAAATCACTACTTGAGAAGCATTGCTTGTGTTTATGCATAATAGGTGTCTTTCTAACCAGAAATTTTCACATTTCATTCAACTAGGCCAAATTTTGAGTTTTTTTTTTCTTCTAAATGAACTAAAAAAAATAATAACCTTATAATTATTTAAATACTACATACATCTCTAATTCTCAAATTCAAATATATAACTAATAAACAACTAAACATGCACTTATTGACTAAACATATCATGCATCGGTATGAGATTATGAATTATTTTTAAAGACCACTATACGACGAAAAATAGATCAATAATATCACACGTCTCAAAGAATGTTATGATGGCTAACAGGTAAAAGTTCACAATTTGATTTCGAGATCTTGTAAGGGCTAACAAGGAAAATTTCATAATTTAATTTCAAGATTCTGTTAAAATTTGAGAAAAGAATAAAGATAGAATTAAAAAATTTAGAAATAAATGAAAGACAATCTTTATTTATGTATTTACGTAAACAAGTTAATAAGATATCACATTTTTCTCTTTACATATTTTTTTTTGGGTAAATTTTTCTCTTTACTTTTAACACAATTGATTTAATTTTCTAAAATTATGGTTAGTTTTTTTCTTTCAAAATTATGAATAAGTTTTTCTTAAGAAGTGAAAATATTACCTATCAATTAATTATTTACTTATAATACAATAATTTTTATATAATTTAATTATTTAAATTTATTTTATATCACGTACACTAAATCACTGTTTTTATACTCCTCTAAAAATGGGGTCCTAGAAAATTGTCTCTCGCGCTCATTACAACTTTTGATTGAAATGCTCCAAATAAGATGGCAATGAACTATATCTCATTGTCGCATTTTTTACCTGTTATAATTTGGGTAAATTAAAGGTTGTTCATGTCTTTGTAATTATTTCTGTTTCCATCAGAACTTGATACTCCTAGTTAATTCACTGACCACCAAGTATAAGAAATTTGATTCAATGACGAAACATCCTAGGTGTGCACAATCATGCTTAAGAGAAAAGAAACTTTGAATGCACTGATATGAGGAAATGCTAACAAGGCACTTAATGCAACACTTAAACCATTCAATTTGTCATGAATCTCGATTTAATTTGTGTAATGTTCTTTATTTTGTCATGGTGTTCAATTCTGGTTGTGATATTAATTTAAGAGTTAATCACTTATACATTCTCAATGTAAAGTTTTTTTATACTGACAACCAATTATATCTTTTAATTGTGTTACGTCACTGTTAAAAGTAAATGTGTTAATAGTGACATGACACAATTAAAAGATATAATTGGTTGTTAGTGTAAAAAAACTTTACACTGACAATATATAGGTAATTAACTCTTAATTTAATCTGTCTAATGTTCTTTATTTTGTCATGATGTGCCATCTTGGTTGCGATATGTGATGCAATTACAACTTATTGATGTTGTAATTGCATTATGAGGGATGTATAAATTTTAAATGGTAAAGGTAATACTTATTCATATGTATGTAGTATTAAAAAATTTATATATTATTTTAAAAATATAAATATATATAATAATTATTTTTTTACAAACTTTTATATTTCTTGTTATGATTAGGGGTAAAAATAAATTAAGTTATATTAAAATTTAATAGGTTTAAGTCTAACTTTCATTGAAAATACATGTATTGATCATAACTTCTTTATCTATTTTAAACATATTTTTTAAAATATTTTGTTAAAATTACAATCCTATTTAAAGTCCTACTTTATAGTAATTTATCACTAGAAAAATAAAAAAATGTTAAATTTTATAAAAATTAAATTAAATTTATTTATAATATAAATATATTTTTAATATCTAATATAAAATTTTATTATTAAAAACATATCTTATAATAAAAATCTTAAATAGAACATAAATTTCATAAACTTTATTATTATAATTTCTTTTTATTAATATCGATAAATAGAAAACAATGTTACAAATTTTATTTTATCAAATTTATTTTAATATATTACGTTAAATATGTGAACATTAATATATTTATTTATTATATAATTAAACTTAAAAAATTGATTTATTATCCAAAAATATTTTCCGTTACATATAAAAACTAATATTTTTCAAAAATTTGACAAATATTAAATAAATAAACATTATTTTTAAACTTGAGTTTTATAAAACATTTGTAAGTTTATTTTATTAGAATATAATTTTTATTTTAAAAAATATTATTATTTTTTAATTAAAAAATTTAATATTTATGTTATACAAAATTGTAAAATGATTGTGGGGACAGCTGCCACCATTGTCTACCATACGTCACTGGTTTTGTTGATCTGTTCTTTCAAAAAATAACACCAACAACATGTCTGGGTCCATGCAATAGAAGCAGTACTAATGGCTTGTTGGCAGATTGAGCAATCTTACAAAGTTTAACAGATGCAATGATACTCTTTTCATTGATAGTTACATCTTAACATAAAAGTCAGTTTCCCCACATTTTTTATACACACACCGTAGCATTTTAAAACACAATCATTTGACTTAAATCTAAGTTACCAACGATAGTATGAGAAATGGTTGAAAAATGCCAGGAAGAGAAATAAGAAGGTGAAACCACATATGGAGAGGATGAGTGATGTTTGAAAAGGAAGAGAAAAAAAACTGAGGTTATTAAAGTATTTTCACATAAAAATAGAAGAAAAGAAAAAGAGAAGGGTATCTAGCAAATGGAAAAGGTATAAATATCAAAATTCAAAAGTCCCAATTTAATAATTTATTAACCCATCAGTCTATTTTTCTTAATTTATCATTCTCATACTTTTTTTCTTAATTTTCTATTACACATAGAATAAGTTCCCTTATTTATTTATTTATTTAATAAAATAAGTTTTTTTTATACATTTTTTTAACCTTAGCAAAGCAAAAAAAAAAAAAAAGGCAAAAAAGTGGGCCGAAGTGAGGAAGGGCCCAATAAACGCGAAAACCCTGGAGGCGGAATTAGAAGCAAAAAGAGTTATCCCTATCTATATCTAGTCGTGTTATCATCCAAAGTCAGTGATCACAAGAAAAGAAAAGGTTCGGCGAGTGAAACCCCAAGCCATGTCTCCAGGTCCCGTTGTCGACGCTTCTCCCGAGCTCGATGCCCAGCCTCAAGCTCCCTCCGTCGACGACTCAACCCACACCAACAAACCTCAACCCCAGGTCGGTCCCTTTTCCCTTTTCCCTTTCTTTTCATTTCCAAACATTCCGCTGTTGTCTCGTTTCATGTTTTGTGTCTCATTTCCCTGCCTCGTGCCAGGAGGACGATGCTCCCGTTGTCGAGGACGTCAAGGATGATGACAATGAAGACGATGACGACGACGATGACGACGACGACGATGATGACAAGGAAGACGGTGCTCAAGGTCCTTTTTTCCTTCACTGCGTTAACCTAATAAAACCTCTGTTTCCTCCTTATTTATGTTATTCGTTATGTTTCTAATCGTTCTCAACCTCTATTACTGGGTTCCCATGTGTTTATGCATTTTTCTAGGGTTTAGTAGAGTTTTGTGTTTATCCCCTGAGATTTAATTTTGTGTTGATGAAATAACGCGTAATTATTTTAAGCTAATTGATATATAGTGGATTTCGTTTCTATCGAAATTGTCATACTGGGACGACCAAAAATGTCATCCATGTTCGCGAATTTTTGTGTATGGAAATGGTATTTGCTTGCTGACAGTTAATGTTGGACTACTTTATCTTTTGGACGCTATTTGTATGTATTTGTTTCTGCATTTGTCGGTAGTCTTTGGTGATTGTTGGTTTAGTCTAAGTTAAAGAGTTGTTTTCATGTGGGTCTGGAGGTACCCTTTGTGCCTTAATTAACAATGACTCTGTTTTAGATACATTTTTTGGCTACACGTAGCGCAGTAGGAAACTAAATGGAATTGAAAGGGGACTTGGTTAAACCCTTAATTAGTTGTCACTTGATGGATTGGCGTTTATGTGGTGAAGCTTGAAAATATTTGAGCTAGATTCAATTGTTGCTGTTATCCAAACTTACAGAATGTGCATGATTGGTCATGTAATCATTTAATGTATATCTGAGAATTTTAACAGTGGTGAGTCCGGCATAATGTGCTGTGTTTTATCTTTTAAATTTACTTTAATGTCATGAGGTGATATATGCAAAAAATTGTGTGCCTTGTTGAAGAATGATGTTACCATTAGCATAACATTCATGGAAGAAATAAAATCAGTGTTCAATCTTGGTTTATGAGTATATCCCAAGTTGGTAGCTGCTGAGACCCAAAGGTTGACAACTAGTTATTTTTAGCATTCTAGAGACTGTATTTTACTTCTTCAGCTTCACAGTATGAGTCAGATTGTTGGGTTTTTGTTTTATTTTTATTTTACTATATAGTCATAAACAGATCAACTAGGTCCTAAAGGCTAATGCCTTGCCTAAACCAGAAAGGTTTACCGAAGGCGAGGACCTCACTGAATCAGCAGCACCTCAATTTGTGCGAGGGATGACCCTTTTTAGATATCTTCAGAACTCTGCTTTTGATCACAGATCTTTCTTATACCATGCTTATAGTTGGAATCCTTTTTGTTGCTGTTGAACTTCACGTCTTGACTATATTCAGCTACTGCTTTTCTTGCTTACTATTTTTATATGATTGAATTATTCAGATGAAAAAAGATGATATTCTATAGCTGTTGCAATATTGGCAAGTAAATAACTGCCACTTAGTTCTGAAATAGAAGATTTTACCTTGGGAAATTAACAATATATTTGTGTATTTTGATACTTGCCCTCTGTTGCCACAGCCATTTCTATGCTATTTTTGTTTGGCTTGTTATCTATGATCTTGTTCATAAATATGTACTATTGGACTTTGAGATGTAGGTGGTGCTGAGGGATCAAAGCAGAGCAGAAGTGAGAAAAAGAGCCGAAAAGCAATGTTGAAGCTGGGATTGAAACCAGTTACCGGCGTTAGTAGGGTCACAATCAAGAGAACAAAAAATGTGAGTCATTTACATGTGTTGTACTTTTCTGTGATCTATCTGAATGGTGGATATCTTTTGACCAAATTATTTTATGCATTTTAGATTCTTTTCTTCATCTCAAAACCTGATGTGTTCAAGAGTCCAAATTCTGAGACCTACGTCATATTTGGGGAGGCAAAAATAGAGGACTTGAGTTCTCAGTTGCAGACACAGGCTGCTCAACAGTTCAGGATGCCAGATATGGGATCTGGAACAGCGAAACAAGATCAAGAAGCAGCAGCTGCAGCAGCACAGCCCGAAGAAGAGGAGGAGGTTGATGAAACTGGCGTTGAGCCCCATGACATTGATTTGGTGATGACACAGGCAGGAGTGTCAAGAAGCAAGGCTGTCAAGGCTCTCAAGACTCACAACGGGGACATTGTTGGAGCCATCATGGAGCTCACTACTTAATTGGCCTTTATGTTTTATTCTCTTTGTATGTCTTTTTTCGGGATGATATTAGAACTAGTGCCGTTTTATTTTAAACCGAATCAACATATCAACCGTTATATGTCTGGGGTTTACCGTTTAACTTTATAGTTTTGTTGCGATCTTAAAATATTCTGAATGGTCACATTATTGTTTGATTTTGTATTTTTAGTAGTATTGCTTCGCATTTCTTACAAAAATAGGCGAGGTTTCTGTTCATTAGTGTCTTAAGGGGGGAAAATATTACGTTGTTGAATGCTGTTAATTATTTAGAGCAGTCTAAAAGTCAAACCAATCTAGTTCAGAACCCAATGCCTGCGTCCTGTTTTAGTTTAGGAGGCCATTTAGCTTGGAATAAGTGATTTAAAAACCGGACTGAACCGACCGGTTGGACCGGGAATCGGTGGTCTAGCCGGTCCGAATCTTAAGTTGGATTGGTTATGAAGTTGACCTGTTTCAAATTGGATTGAACTGGTCAATTTTTCGGTTCAACTGGTGAACCGGTGGGTCAAACCGGTTCAACCACTTTTTTTTCTTTTTCTTTTTTAATTTTTTTAAGAGATCATAAACCACAAAAATAATAATGAAAATTGAATCTCTTAATAGAAAAGCAAGGAGTCTTATTAAATATAACAATGACTACTTGTTCTAATATATTTGTTGCAATATATACAACTTAAATAACTTTTATAGTATATTAATAATTTTAAATTATATATTTAATAATATAATATTTATGTAAATATTACATATATTATTTTGTTATATTAATTGCTAGCATATTATATATGTACATATTATTTATATTTTTAATTTGTATTAATATACCGTTTAACATGTAATTTTTTATGTATTTTTTTACAAAATAAAAATAAAAATAATTTTAAATAAGATAGAAAAATTGAAATTTAAAATAAGATATGAATTTATTAAAATTTATAAGTATAAAATATATTTAATATGAATATTTTTTTAATAAAAATAAATAAAAATCGAGTCATGCGGTTCAACTAATGACCCACCGGTTTAATCTTTGACCCACTGACCCAGTACCTTAACCGGTTCGATGACCGGTCTGGTTTTTAAAACTATGCTTGGAATTATAGTAAATGGTAATTCAAATTTAAAATTTAAAATTATTATTTTTAATTTTTGAAATTTTTAAAAAATTTTGTTTTGATACTTTAGATTATTAATAACATATTTAAAAGTGACATTTAAATAATTATGTAGTATTAGTTAAGTTTAATGTGATGTCTTTATTAACAGGAATATTGGTAGATAGGTTTTATGAATAATTTTTTTAACAAAATTTGAATATAAAGACTATAATAAGATTTTTTAAAATTATAAAGATTAAAAATTAAAAATTAAAAATTTGAAGAATTAAAAATAAATTTATCTTAAATTTAAAGGGACTAAAAATATATTTAAATTTATTTTATTTATATTATTTTTGCCTATTTTATAATTTGTACAATATTATAATTATATAAAAAATTAAGTTAATTTGGTGTTAACGAGAAGTGAAGGAATACTATATGTTTTTATAAATTTTCCAATCATATTATAAATAAAATGTTAAATAAAACTGCGTACCTAATTTTTAAAAAATGTAAAATACATTTAATACATATTTACTTACATTAAGAGAAAATAAGAGAATTTGACAATGGTAGTGTAAATTAAGCATCATGCTTTTAAAATTGATGTCGTGTAACTCTTTTTCTTTAAAATATTTTAGTGAGCCTTGCATTCTTAATTTAATAGGGTAAAAATTGTCTCTTTTTTATTCTAAATCTAAAATTTAAAACTTTTTTTTTTTCTCTTTGGAAAAGTTGTGTAGTCACCATAGAGGTTTTGGAATAAGTTGGGAGTACCAAACTCAAAAATTTTGCTTCAACTTTTGCTGCATTTTCACCATTAGAAGTTAGAGAAGAATGAAATTTTCGCTTGTGGATGTAACATTAGCTATGGACAAAGGGGTTAGTCCTAGACCTCGATTTGGTTTATGTTTCGACCCTGAAACCATTTTATTTTTATTATGATTGATGAATTTGAATGTGTTATATGAATTCTTGTATTTGTGAGTAATTGAAATTTTTTAGGAGCTTTGATGATTAATTTAAGTGATAGGATTACCTAATTACTTGTTTTGAAAGGATTGAAAAAATGATAGGACTTAATCTAGAACTTCATATATATGTATTAGATGGTTATGGATGAACATTAAGGGTTCTAAAAACACAAAATCGCAAAATGAAAATTTGTAGATTTGTAGAGCCAAACTAAGCATGAGATTTCATGCTAAATGTGGGAGGAGACAACAAGACTTCTTTTTGACATTTTGGCAATCAGGTAAGTGACTTCACTTGGTGAGTCAAAAAGGTCAATAATTTGACCGTCCAAAACCTATTAGACCTATTGTAGCCATTATTTGTATCTATATTTATACTTATTTTTTTATATTTGTATAATTAAATAAAAAATAGAAAATAAAATAAAATAATTTTGTGAAGAAAAGATAGACACTAAAAGAGAGGTTGGATAGTGTATATCAAACACTTCACATTTTTAAGTACGTGAAGTAGTATCTGTAAGGGTTAGCAAGAGTAATCAATGAACACAAGAAGTTTTTATACTGGTTCACTTTAATCATTGAGGCTACGTCCAATTCTCAGTCTAACTAGATTAAGTTCCACTAACTTTCAACAAAGTTACAAGTATTATTTTATCAAGTTACTTCTAGCTCAAACAAGAGTTCTTTGACTGGCCTCTTCAAGTCATTACCCAAATATTATTTTTTTAAAAATAAGCCTCTCCAAGTTTAACTCCAAATATTCTTTTAGAGTCAAACCTTTCTAATTTATATCCTATAACAATGGTTATAAAGGTATTACAAAGTTGCAGTTGTCTCTTTTAGACGTGATTACAACACACATTTAAGTACAAGAAAATTCTTGAAGAAGATTTTTTATGAGTTGTATATTTTCTCTGTATCTCAAAAATTTTCCATATGTGGTTTCTTCTTCTTCTCTTGAGTTCTAGAATTTCTTATATAGTATCTTTGAAAGAGATGACCATTGTAGGTTCTTGAGTCTGATTCATAGAATTGCTTCATTTTACTCCTTTGTTTGATTTAGGGAGAGAGGAAGTATCCATTGGTGCATTAAATGCTTCAAGTAATGTCATTCACCTAAACATACTCCATATCTTTGATAGATCAAGTTACTTATTAGAGCAAAGTAGCAAAATGGGAATAGTAGGAAGCCAAGTTAGCGTGCAGCAAGGATACAGTCCTTTTCCTGTGCCTTTTCTGTGAAATTTGAGATCTTCATCCTTTGTTTTGATGATTTACATGCTTTTATATACTTTTAACAAAATGTGTCTTTCAAGACAATAACTTTCGATCTATTAAGATATAAAACATTCATTTGAAAGTTTAAAATTGTCAATCATAATAAATAATGGGTGTTAAGAATAATTGTATGCTTCATCTGATTTGCTTTGTCTTACAAACACTACTTCATCTTACAAAGTATGAAACTGTGACTTTTTAAAAATATTTTCTTGCCAAAAGACGTAGTGTTTGTTATTATTAAAACTTATGAAAAATGAGGGATCTAAGATCATTTTTTGACTTAACAATTTTCAAGCCTAATAATTTCAAGTTTGGCCACAAAATAAGTGATTTTTAAAAAATTTTAGCTGGGCTACACCAACTCACTTGTAAGTATTGGCCCTCACAAACCGAGTGACCCCATTTAAAATCTCTAATGTTATGACAACACATGGATTTCTTTGTTAGTCTAGTGTGAAGCACCACAATTGTAGTACATCATCTTCAAACTAAGTGTGGGGTGTTTCTACCCTAATTGTGGGATCCTTAAATGTGTTTGGTTGATTTAAATGCTTGAATCGTGTAGTTGTACTAATGTATATTAATTCATGTTTGATTATAATTGATGTTTGTTGTGATCAATACAATACTATGTCACAATATTCTTTTTGTTATGGAATTATAATGAACAACTTAGCTAAAGAGGTGACAAGAATGGGCTTGAGTGGTATCTAAGTGGTGAGTGACTTAGCCAATGAGGGAAAAAAATTGACTCATTTGTATGTGATGAGAAGTCTAGTAAGACTTAGCTTTTGGAGTGTCATCGCCTTTTTAAGTTGGTAAAATGTTATGAGAGTCATGTTATAATTATATATGTTATATTATTTACTCATGATTTGTTTTAAAAATTATTGACTTTTGTATGTATGTTTTGAAAGTTATATTTCCTTCATTTTTGCAACATGTAATTTAATAGAAAGTGTCTTGGATAAAAGGTGTTACAAGTTGAATATCATAAAAAGGGTTATTAGTCTATTACAATTTGATAAAGCAAAATTTGGATTCTTGTTGTGAGGAGTGTATATTTAGTGTTCAATCATATATTTGACATGATTATTTCAAAAGAAAGATACTTGTGATAAATAAAAGAAATTATTTGAAGAAAAAACTTATTGATTTATATATTTTAAAAGATTAATTTTCAATGGAATATTTTTAAGCTAAAAGTAAGAACTCATAAAGTGTAGCATTATGTTGGCTTAAGGAAAATCATTATTAAGGTTAGGAACATGAATATTTATCCCAAAAAAAAATTTCACTTTTAATGGTAAATATATACTTTTTTTTATTACATGAGAGTGAGTATTTTATTTTATTATAATTCCATGACAAAATAAAAGGCCCAAGAAAATGATGGGCCTAGGAATCATAAAACCCTTGACACTAGAAGGAATGAATAGCAGAAAAAAAGAGTGTCATCTCATAATCGAATCCTTCGTTTCTGCATTTTCTCTCTTTCACAGCACTCCTTCAGTGAGAAGCCATGTCTCCAGGTCCCGTTGTTGACGCCGCCGCCGCCGACGCCGGAGTCGACCAACAACTTCCCTCCGTCGACGACACAACCCTCAAGAAGAAACATCACCCGCAGGTTCCCCCATTTCCATTTCTATTTTCGACTTTACTTTCTCTCTTATTCGCTTCCTCACACGATCTATTTTTTTCTCAGCAGGATGATGCTCCCGTTGTCGAAGACGTCAATGATGACGACAAAGATATAACCGACGAAGACGACGATGATGACGAGGACGACAAAGACGACGACGACGACGCTCAAGGTCCTTCTCTGTTCCTTCTCGTAACGTTATTTTCGTAATTACACCGTTTTCTGTTTGTTTAGGTTATTTTATCTTATATATCAGTGTTAACATTGATTAGTGGATTTACATTTAGATAGATTTACACCTGAGAATTGTATTGTAGACCACTGTTATAATGGTTAGGGATTCTTTTTATTGACAATGAACTTTATGTGATATAACTAATTGGCTAATGTTTATGTGGTTATGGTTCTTGTATATTTTAGAGATTTTTCTCTCATTGAGAAAACATAATGAATTCAATAGGCTTGCATTGTCAATGTAAAAGGTTAACTACTACAAAATTATTGTTGGTGTGATTTTTGAGGTAATACATTGTGGTTTCTGATTGAGAGGGTAAAAACTCTTTATACTTGCATGTTATATTTATTCAAAAAGTATTGTGCTATAGAGTTGTCTTTTGATTTGCAGTTTCATGAATGTTAGGATTATAGATGTAGGGTTTTAGCTGAAGGAAAATGGAATGTACATCTTGTTATTGCGCGTATTCAATTCCAACATGGTATCTGTTTATTTGTTCTCTTGGATTAATGGATTTTAAGATGCAGGTGGTACTGAGGGTTCAAAGCAGAGCAGAAGTGAGAAGAAGAGCCGGAAAGCTATGTTGAAGCTGGGACTGAAACCTGTTACTGGTGTTAGTAGGGTCACAATCAAGAGGACGAAAAATGTGAGTCGTTGTATGTGTTGTTATTGTTCTTTCTGTGATCTAACTAGAAGGTGGATGGCTGTTAACCAAATTATTTTATGCATTAGATTCTTTTTTTCATCTCAAAACCTGATGTCTTCAAGAGTCCAAATTCTGAGACCTACGTCATATTTGGGGAAGCAAAAATAGAGGACTTGAGCTCTCAGCTGCAGACGCAGGCAGCTCAACAATTCAGGATGCCTGACGTGGGATCAATTACGGGAAAACAAGATCAAGATGCTGCAGCTGCAGTAGCACAGCCTGAAGAAGAGGAGGAGGTTGATGAAACTGGTGTTGAGCCCCACGACATTGATTTGGTGATGACACAGGCAGGAGTGTCAAGGAGCAAGGCCGTCAAGGCTCTCAAGACTCACAATGGGGACATTGTTGGTGCTATCATGGAACTCACTACTTAGTTACAGTTTATGTTCTATTTATAGTTGTTTTTTGGGGATGATTTTGGAACTAGTGCCATCCTTATAATATCTCTGGTCCATATGGTTCTGTTTACCTTATAATTTTGTTGCTCTCTAAAATTTGTGGTACGATGTGATGATCAATGATCATATCTTTACTATTATTTCGTTGTTTTCATTCATAATAGCATTCTTTCAGCTCTATATCTTGTGCTCTTGAGAGTTGCTTGTTTAATAATCTCTAGGTATATATAAGGTCTGTATAGATAAATTTCTCCAAAAACATTTAGAAGAGAAATATAGGTAAAAAATTTGAAATAAACTTGTTTATAAGTTAAAATTAATTTACACGTGAGCAAAAAATAAGATTTTGAAAAGTTATTAAGAGAAAAATTTTACATATTAGTCTATGCATAAGTTAATTTCAGTGAATAGAGAAATTAGTTTTATCTTTCTCTTATTTTTTTATTATTTATTTTTTTTGTTGTAAGTGCTTCTTAGGAAATTTACTCAAAATTGTTTTGTTGGATCCGCATCTGCAACTTCTAAAGACTCATTTCCCTGGACCTTCGGAAATGGTATGCCATTTAGCTAGGAATTACCATAGCCTTTGGTAATATCGATGGTTGGATCAAATTGAATAGGTTTTTAAAGACTCATGTCCCTGGACATTTGGAAATGAGATGCCATTTGGCTAGGAATTACCATAGCCTTTGGTAATATCGATGGTTGGATCAAATTGAATTGATTATAAAAATATTAGATGATATTTGTCGCATTTAAAAGTTTTAAACGAGAAAAAGACATTCAGGTAATTGTTTCTTAATGTATTGGCGTGTAATTTACTAATTTAGCATTAGTCCTCAAGAACATCTAGCCAAGAAAAAATCTAATGTTGGTTGTTGATAGCGATGCACTGTGATTGGACAGTCCTTGCATTTATACCGAAGCAAATTGATTTAGATAACGTGAGTAAATACTTGTCGCAAATGACAAGCTATCTATTTCAGGGCAAACAGAGAGGACTACGATTCACCGACAGATGAATGCCAGTTATGCGAACAGGAGGTAAAAAAAACGGGAAGCAAAGTTACTTGCTCCGTAATCAAGCAGGAAAAAAGAAAAACAGAAACATGACTAAGAATCTGTAGATCTTCATTGCTGCAGGTAGTCCTCGAACACCATTGCTAGCCATTGACCACCCTGCAATTTGTTCTAATCTCTCCAGCATTACCTGTTAAGACACTGATTTGACCCATCTTCACCATTGCATCCGCAAATTTATTTGCCCACAGATAAGAATTCCTGGCATATTGATTCACCTGACTGGCTGTTTCAGCATTACTTAAGAGAGTCTGATCAGAAGTAAACAGGCCTCGGTTTGTTAATATATTAAGATAGTACCCTACATCTGCAATTGCAGGACTGGAGGGGTCCATTGAAACCACCAAGTTGGGGTTTGTGCTTCCTTGTGGACATTGCCTCTTCAGCCGAGCTGCATATGAAGGCTCTAAACTCGGATCCTGGCTTGAAGTGCTACTGAAATTGTATAATCTACTGCTGAAAGCAGTGCAATGAGAGCGGCCAATGGTGTGTGCTCCTGCATACACAGCACATGCCATTAGCAAATTGAAGCTATAAGCATACCATAAAGAAGAGTTATCTTGAAGCTCTTGTATACCTGAAAGGGTGACCATTTCATCTTGTGTTAATCCCTTCTTTGCAAAGAGTTGAGTGAGTTGGTTTACATTGAAAGTTGGAGGAGGTAACTCTGTTCTTGTATCTGAAGCTAGTGATATTCTGCCATCTCTTCTTCCTGCTGGAACATCATAACCAACCCCTTCAGCCTGCATGAAGCAAAAGGAATGGTATAGGGTCATTTTTCTTGCTTTAAAAAATGTTGCTAGAACAAAGTAGAGTCACTTACTAACTCCACACTATCCCTTGCTGCAAATGCAACAATGTCAGCACATGAAACAACTCCTGGGCAAACTGCTTCAAGTTTAGCCTTGGCATTATCAATGACTTCATACCCTCGGAGACTTGGTTTATTTGCGGGAGAGTCTTTCTCTGCAGTGTTTGAGGGAGTGGAATCAAGAAGAACTGATGCATCACACCCCTAAAATGAACATAGCGGTTAAAGATTTTAGTAAAGAAAGAGGGTAATTAACAAATTTTACTATTGTAATTAAGGGTAATGGATTAATAACAAATGGTTCCATATAATGACTTACTCTAATAAAGCAATCGTGGAAATGCATTCTTACAAGCCCAGCAGCAAGTCCAGGATTCCTAGTAACACTATTTCTTACTTCATCCTTCACAATGAACTCAGCCATGCCACATGAATAGCTATAAAACCCAACCTGTAGCTCACAATGAGCATTTTGATTCAACAAATATATGAGAAAAATTATAGTTATACATTTAAGCTTTTTTGACTTCATTTTCTCTGAAAGATTGCTTTGCTTCTAAGTAAGCTTATGGCATAATTGTAGCCTATTTATACATGAAAATTTTGCCCTTAGTGCCAAGTGATAAGGCAATAAGCTGGATTATTATTATTATTTGGTCGTCAAGAGTGCAAGTGATTGGGGAGCTATAAGAAAGGACAACTAAAACAAGTTTATCACACTATTATTGTAGTGCTTTGATAATGACACTTCTCAAGATTTCACGCGCTGATAGGATGAGGAATACGTGCGTAAATCGATTCTATTTGACTTGAGTGCACGAAAATCCAAATTAGTTGTTAAAGTTGAATACAATAGTAAATATAATAGACCAAAAGAATTGTGTTAGATAATGTTCATGCTAGGTCTACGTGTTAGTTGTTACAGCAACTTTCAGATTCCTGAAAAGCATGCATGGTTTGGAAACATGATTTGCAGATATAGCATTTAATATCCAAGACAAATAGATAAAGTCACATTTTAAAACTAGTTATATGTTCTAAACCATTATTTCTCATGAATCGATGTGTCCTAATGGGATTAGGTGTGGCCATGATCGTGACATAGTGGTGATCTAAATCGAAACCTAAACCTTAAAGGTCTATCGTTGTTTAGATTCCACCAGGCTAGGTAGCAAATATATATGAATAATGATAATGGCATATCTTTTGGAATCTCGATTGCCATCAAGAGTTTTTACTTCGAGACTAGAGACTTTAAGCACCCCTTATTAAAACCTATTTCCCAGTTTTTACTTTGAGACTAGAGACTTTAAGCATCCCTTATTAAAACGTAAACCTTAAACCCTAATCAATTATCCCTTATGTTCAACTATTTTACAGTTACCATATAGTTTCGTAAAATTGAATTCATTTACATTGAGAATATGACTACCGACTACTGGCAGTACTGTTAAAAGTATTCAATTTTCTATTAATATTTTAGAAAATGTTGCTGAAATTCTTTAAAACCTCTTTTTGGTTCATTTTAAAATGAAGAAAGTTCTTATTGAAGTAATCTGGTTCAATTTTTAAACTAAGAAAACAAAAATCTAGGTGTTGATGAAGGCAACACAAGTGTAGAACACTGGGATAATAAAGACAGCCAAGATAGTTAAGAAATGAAGAAATCAATTCATAGAGGTGAGCAAAAGCAATGAAGAATGTAACTTAAAATCATTCTTTTTAGGTACATAGATTAAAATCATTCTGATACCGTGAAAGTCAGACGTAAATAATGGTCAAACTGTAGACTAATTGGTTAATTACCCAGCTATTTTCATAGAAAATAATTTTCACCAAATTTATGGTAATGCTATATTATGAAAATGCCTTCAAATACTCGAACAATACTAAATGTTGCAAAAGGAACTCGGTACCTAATGCACAAACATTTGTTGTACCAAACACTAATCACCTGGTGCACAAAATGCGGTGTTTTAAACATTATATGAGTTCAAGTATGACAACTTTTTACCAACCCCAACATCAAAATTCTTTAGGGTAAAAAGCAAAGGCTCCTGATGGCAAGTACTTCAATTACATAACTCGCGCAATTTAGAAGAAAAAAAAACAGCGCTTTATGATTAGTCAGTCAAGAAGCAGATGTTTGGAAAAGTAACAAGAGAATGGAAATCTAATTAGCAGCTTAAATAGCAAATTTGCCCCCATTACTCGATTAATTTGAAACTACTAAATGGTTTGATCTTGACAAATTGACAACTTTTCTATCACTTGCACTTATTTATCAACATGTGCAAGTGAGCAAGCACATATTATATTAATAAAAAATAAGAAGTCGGACATCGTTATATACAGATAGGACAGAGCCTTAAGACCAAATTCTACAATATGCATGTCCAATAAGGATAATAAAAATGTCTAACCCATAAACATTTATTCAGTCATATAATCAAACATAAACATTTATTGAACCATATAACCAAACTTTTAAAGGTTTCTTCAAAAGCAGCCCTACGAGCTTTTCTCCACATGTTCCCAATCTGATGCAAAGCCATCTGAGGAGTAAGTAGAAAGCTCACAAGAAGGCTGAATTTCTTGATTTTCCTCCAAACACAGATGAAACTCATTTGAGATTGACTTGTCCATAGAAGTGTAGGAATTGAGATTCACCACTGCAGGATTTACATGGACGTCCAAACTTTTACCTTCAGAAACATTTTTGGCAATTGTTGTGTCATCCATTTCTTTGCCAGCAAATCCAACTCCATCAAACAGTGTGCCTTCTGAAGAAATAGAACTTGAACCTTCAACCCGGGATTTCAGAATATGAAACCTTGCCCCAACAGATGCCTCGTAATCGGTCCCATTCTTTTCAGGAACAGGAAGATCTTGGCAGGAACTGACTTGGATTTGATTATCCCTCCCTTTAGGCTCTGACTTGTCTGCTCTCTCTAATGGTTCCTCCACATTGGTAGTAGTATCAATGCATGAGTGGTCAACCCGAGCTTTGAGAACTTGGTATCTGGCCATGACAGAAGCCTTATCATTTCTTTCAGCCTCCTTGTCTGAGCAAGAAACGTTATAATTATGGATAAAGCTATCTGGGTCTTGACCACCTTTTCCTTCACATGGTCTCATCTTAGGCTTGTTCATATTAGTGGAAAAAATCAAACAAGATAGTTCCTCTGGATTGGTAGAATCCAAGACAGGCAATTTCAAAGCAGGCAAATCAGTGTTTGGATAATTATACACTTTATTTGCAGAACTCTGACTTTGGCTCAAAGTTGGAACAAACTCAGATTTTGATTGCTTCTCCATCTCTACAGCATCATATCATATAAGATAATTTAACAGAACATCAGCTTAAAATAATTCAAATTTCCAGGATTTTATCCAGGATATTTATAACAATGAGTCATATCAAGATAAGAGAAAAATTGACAACCTTTTTCCTTGTAAGAGAGTTTATCCATTTCAATCTTTATTTGATTATAGCGAGCCTTGTAATAGACAGAACACAGTGCAGCTTCAGCCTCAAGCCATAGGTTCTTATATAATACAGTATGAGGCTCTGCTCCTTCATCATCATGATGGAAATTCTCGCTAAGAATCCTCTTCAGATCCTATAAATCAAAATGTATGTTAACAATAAATATTTCCCTTCCACCGTAATTTGTAAACATGAATTATTAGTAAATAGAGAAAAATAACACATCCTGGAATACCTTGGTCATGTTATCAACCTTTGTCATTTCTGTATCATCCCTTGGGGAAATGGAATCTGAAAGCTTCCCAAGTGGTTTCCCAGACCTGAAATGCAACTTTGCCTCTGCAACAAGTGGATTCTCAAACTCTAACTTGGAGGTCTCTGGTCCTATCTTGGTTAATTGTGGCCTCTTGGAACAACTTGCATTCTGAGAAAATATTAAAAAAACTTGCAGAATAACTTGTCCAGCATATAAAAATACACAAAATACAACCTTCAATATCATAGAACCAAAATAACCAAGAAGCCGATCCTTATCCTTCTACAAAACAGTTCTAAAGATATTATCACACAGCATCTATAGCTATGTATATCTCTTTTCCATCATTACTTTTTATGCATTATAAAAATCTTTTAATGGTAGTTATTAGCTTCCTTCTGTTGAGACTTATTCGTGTGTTTAATTTAAACTTGAAAGATGAGAGCTCACATGTTGGTATTAAAGTGTGTAGACTGTACACTAGATTTATTGCTCAGAAACTAACACACTGATTCAGCATGTGGCATTTTGTTTCCTTAAAATAGATGATGAATTGTAATTACACAGAAACACCGTGCTATGTTGTACATAATAGTTTAAAATGAAAATTTCTGCTAAAATTATTTAAATTTAGGGGCTTGACAATCAATTCCAAGTAAGATACAGAAAACAAATACAAATTACAAATAAATTCGAAAAAATATGTTCATAATCTGTCATTCTGTCCTCATAGGACAGTGCTTGCTGCCTATGATACAGTGAAATCAATTCAATCATCTTCCCAATCCCAGTAAACTAATCAACTGGCATTGTATCAAAAAATCATTCTTCTCTTATAGTTGATGATTTTCTAAATTTCATTAATTTACAAATTAGGCAAAGCACTCTTTGAGCTATGTTACAATACATTATTACCCCAAACATGTCACAGGAGAACCTTTTCAAATCATTGTAAATTGTAATCACAAGGAGAGTACATTCTCATACAGCCAAATTACCATAATGTACTGTATGCTCTTCATGTTTTCAACTTGCCATCGATGTTTAGTCAATGTTCAACACTGTATCGATATATTCATTAATTGCTTGATTTGATGCAAAGGTTATTATGACATAAAAAATAAAATACGAAATTACCAGCAAAAGTGGCTACATTAGTTTGGAAAATTTTTGTTTTTTATGTTACATGTGTCAAAGAATTGCTGTTAGATTGTTATCATCAATCACTGAAAAAAAAAGGCATTTAAGTTTTCGGCTACTAAAAAGTCATAAAAAAAGTGTTTGCAACCCACCTTTTATTGTTATTGAATAGAAGAAAAAAGAACATACCTGTTGAAACTCACATGAATCTCCAGCACACTTAGAAGTTTCTGATTGATTGAAAAGACATGCTTGAGCCGGGGCAATTTGTTCGATCTGTTCAGCATTCTTTAAAGCACATGTTTTAAGATTATTGACCACATTTTCAAGGAGACTGCAATCTCGCTCTTTCAATTCACAGGTATTATTTAAGCAATGATAAAGAAGCAATTCTGATAAATTTTTCATTGTATCAACCAGCATTTGGACATTTAATTTTTCAGTTGATACTTTCCCAGCTGAATTTTCAGGTGCAATAGTTGTATCTACTACTGAAGAAGGTGAGGACATGGCATGATGGCTTGCAGTGTGCTGTTTTAGACACATCAATTTGTTCTCCTCTACAACTTGATGTTCTTTGTGAGAAGATTCATCTACTACTTGATGTTCTGTGTAAGAAGATCCAGACTCACTGTCGGTTGGCTTGGCTGGTGACACATTATTTTCCTTCATTTTGATAATATCCTGAAATTGAAGCCTGTGATCACATCTCGGCTCAGGTTGAAAAGCTCCATTCACAGCACCACCTGCTTTGCAATCTTCAGATGAAAACTTTGTTAATGAAAATTTCCTTGGAGAACATGCTGAACTTGGCAGATAGCCATTGGAATTTTCATGCAATTTTTTCATATTGTTTTCTGTATCAAGCAGATAATTCTGAGGCCGAATGCTAGAATCAAAGCTCTCTTCCTTGTTGCATACACATTCTTGTGGCAGAGCCACAGAAGGTTCAGATTGAGAAAAGTGACCAGCAGAGGATCCCTTCCAGCAAGGTGAGTCTTCAGCAGG